GTATTTATACCCTCATTCGGAGGCCACGCGGGTCATTGAACTCATCCTCCATGCGATGGCTGCTACAGCTTCTCCTCTGTGAGTCCTGCGATGTCCCCTGCTATGGATGATGTCACCGGCCTTAGATGGCCCACGAGGAGCCCTGGTGGCCCCGTAGTTATGCACTGGGCCGCTCACCGCAATGTCTGCCGCTCGAAACTGCCAGCGGCTCTGCGGGAGACGGATGAGTCTTTCTACTCCCGTGAAGAACCAGGGGGCAGTTCTACCCTGTCCCATACGGTCACTGGGAGTTTATTGGCTTATTTATTGGGGGGTTTTCTATAGCCCAAGGACCGGATGTTCTCTGCTCCTGTGTCAGAGCATTTGCTGACCACCTGGTCTCATCTTGATGGTTTTTGTTTTGAAGGGAGCACAATATTCAAGGGTGATATTCATTGTTTTATGAGCTATTGAGCTACAAGGTGACTGGAGGGGACACTTGGTTCAAGGCTTACTGAATAGCTCAGGCCAACAGTCTTAGGAAATCCTCCTATCTCAGTGAGCCAAGAAAGTTTGTTTGCTTTTTTTAGAAATTTGAAGTTCTGCTCAACGCTTTCCTCCCTCCCTATCAGGATGCATCTTTTATGGCTGTCACGACGTGTGGTGCTGGGAGCTGGGCACCATCTAAATCCTCTGGTTTCAGGGTACAGGAGGTCATGGTTCACGTAGACAATTGGGCCGGGAGACTAGTTTCTTCTTTTTTTCCTTCGTTTTGCTCCTGGGGAGTAGGGACTGATAGTCATGTCTTAGATGGCCATGCATGCTCAAACGAACCCAGACACCACTGGGCAGACATGGATGCAGAGCACACGTATGAACTCTGTCGTCCGAAATGCTAAGGCTGTCTCATTAGACTAACTCCAAGTCTCCAAAGGACGAAAACTATCCTCCTGTGAGGTAACTGGTTATATACCTGAGAAGTATCTGGGGCCATTTTTAATTTTATTAGATGTGTCCGTGTATATGGACATACACACATACTTTAAAAGACCTCTTCAAAGTGCTGGAGCACAAATAAGTCACTTGGAAGATGAAGGTGCACCTAAGCAGTGATGTTCTCAGTCTCTTCACAAGTCCTGGGAGACGTCAGCTGAAACACTCTTTGGAAGGGGGGATGAGGGACCTCATGTCTCAGACTTTGGACCTGCTACCCGGAGGGTCCAGTCCCTGGAGAAGGAGCTCATGCTTGGCAAAGGGGAGGGTCCGTGAAAAAGAGGAAGACGGTGAGGCTGGCGCAGGGCTGGGCAGTGCTCCAGTCTGTTGTCTAGTGGTCCCTCTGAGTCGGATCAACTTGAGCGCGAGAGCCCAGCACAACAGAGATGCACGTACATCTACGTCCACACGAGGACCCTGGGAGATGCCACAGGCCAAGTGCTTGGACCCATGAGCTGCTCCAGGGGACAAAGCTGTGGCATCTTCTTCTGCAGAGATGACAGCCTTGAAAACCCTTTGTTTCGGATACATCCAAGCATACACACACACACACACACACACACACACACACACACACA